GATTAGTTTTGTTTCCAGGATGGTCTTGAACTCTAGGCTTCAAGTGATCTTCCCATCTCATACTCTCAAAATGTTGGAATTAAAGGCATGAGTTACCATGCCTGCTGCAATAAAATTATTTTGTCAGTCTTCTAGTGCTGTTTAAAAATATGTGTCTAGGGGGCACCTGTCGCTCAAAAGGGTAGGGCGCCAGCTCCATATGCTGGAGGTGGTAGTTTCAAACCCAGCCCTGGTCAAAATAATAATAATAATATATATGTGTCTAATAAATCATAAATCAGAGTCATCTTGGGAATCATCTTATTTGATTGATTGTCATTTTTTTGAAACTGATCATATTTCCCAGTTTTTTATATGACAATTTATATCAAATCCTAAAATCCTTGTGTAAAATCTGGACTTGGTTGTATTTGTATAATAAATGTGGATGCTATTTTTTAGAAGGCAATTAAATTAGCTGAAATAACAATGAAAACCATGTTTCTTGGTTAAAAGGTTAAATCTCAAATCTCACTTTTGCTCTTGTTTTTTTTTTAGCTGTATTCTTTTTTTCACACAGAGATGATTCTAGTAAGTCAGAGATTTGGGAAGAGTGTGCATTTTTATTTATTACCCCCAGTCCTTGGCTTTCTCCTTTCTAGAATTCCATCATCATTTTCTACTGGATGTGGTTATCTTTGAACTCAGTCCTCCATTTTTATAGATAGGAAAGACTGTGAGACTTTTATTGGAGTGTTAGCTAACCTACCTGGAATTGAGTTTCATCTATCTTCAAGCTAAAAGTGATAAAAATATAATAGGAAGCTCTTTTTTTTTTTTTTTTTTTTTGGTGAGACAGAGGCTTACTATATTACCCTTGGTAGAGTGTGTCATGTTATAGCTCACAGCAACCTCAAACTATTGGGCTTACACAGTTCTCTTGCCTCAGCCTCCCAAGTAGCTGGGACTACAGGCACCCACCTGGCTATTTTTTATTACAGTTCTCATTGTTGATTTTTTTTTAGCTGGCCCAGACTGGGTTTGATCCTGCCACTCTCAGTGTATGTGGCTGGCGCCATAACCATTGTGCTCCGAGTGCTGATCCAGGAAACTCTTTTTGAGCCATTTTCTTCTCCAAATTTCAGATTGTTTTTCCAAAACTCCATACCATCTCTCCATTAATATCCAGGGTGGGAAGTGTGTGCCATGTGTGTTTGTGTGCCTGTCTGCATATGTCACATATATAATAGTAATTTTCAATTGGTGTGTCATGGCACACTCATGTGCCTTGAGAGGATCTTAGGTGTGGAGTGAAAAATTGTAAAGATCATAAATTATATTATTTTCCAAAGAAGTACAAAACAGAGTAAGTGCATTCTTTTTATTAATCTTTTTTTGTAATCAACATAATTAAAGTTTGCCATGGAAGTTCAACTATAGGTTTGAGGGTACTGTGAGATAAAAAAGTGTGTGATTTGTCAAGAATTTATAATTGTTATTTGTGTTAAAGTACAATAGGAGTTTACTCAGCCATGCCAGAAGTAAAGACCTCCAGATTCCTTTATTTAAATATCTATTTAATTTGTTGGGTTCAGACATTATTTTATTCTTGGGAATATCATGATATTTGTAGTGTTTATTAAAATTTCAGATGATTCTCTGTTGCTAAAATTTTATTATTTGTATACATTTACACTATTTACTATTGGGATAACTATGTTGTTATTAATTTTATTATGGAATATTTGATAAGGATTCTGTAATAATATCTATCAAACATGAGATAATATTGGCATGTATAATTTGGAACAGAAAGGGAAATAGAAAATGAAAACATCATCCTTGGATACAGAAAGACATTGGACTAATTTCATTAACATCCTGTTCTTAACTAATTCAGAGTTTTTGAGGACATAAACTAAATTTTTACGTTTTGTCTTAGGAGAAGCGACAAAAAAACAATGGTTGTAGTTGAGGGTGGAGCCTCATAACATGTTGAGAACAACACATATTAAATATTAATATTTTGTTTTATTTATACTTTTAAATACTTTATTGACTGAAAAACATAATTTTCATATTTAGCAAATTCAGAGCACAGGCTCAGGCCTATGCAATACAGTTCCTCTTTCATTCTCTTTAGAGGTAACTACCTGCTGAAAACACACATTCTACTTGGCTTCAACATACAGTTAATTTTATTATTTTTGAATGAAATTCTCTGCCTCTTTATCATAGTTCTAACCAAATATGTCTATAACTGATTATGCTAAGCTATGGGATCCTAGAACATAGTGGGAGGTGGAGAAGCATGGGGGTGAGGAATGGATACTTTTGGTTAAAGAGACCTCTCCAACTCTTCACATGACAGCAAGCAAGCAGCTACATATTTTGTGACATTCCTGACTATGAGATCCTGGGAGGCATGGCCTGAAATTATAACTGTAAAAAATCTGAGTGAAGAGCTTTGAGGATGCTGATGTGAAAAGCATCCTATGGCAATTTTAGGCGTAGTGTAGGTTTTCAAAAGCTTGTTATTGTTGATATTAGTTTTATCCCATGTGTGTTGGTTGCCCTATATATAGCTTTCATTCTTATTATTAAGCATTGGGACTTTGTAAATATGCATTCCACTCTGACATAACATTACTTTCCAGCCTCAAAAGAAAACCATGATATACAAATATTTCTTTCCAGACATAGGATTTTCAAAACCATAGGTCAAGTACTAGAATAAAATCCACTTCACATTATAATCAGTGTCCTTGACATAGACTCTTCTTGAAAAGGATATTATGGCATTAGTGGTAATAAGAATGCTCAGAATTCCATGAAGAAAGCACCTCACAGACTGTTGTCTATAAATATTTGTTCAAAAGCAGATTTCCAGGCCCTATAAGTAGAAATTTTGACGTAGTATGTCTGAGGTAGGGTTCAAGAATATTTGTTGCTAAGTCTCTTAAGAACCCCAAGAATTATTGATGTGGTGACCTTCTAGCTACTCTTTGAGAAGACTCTTTTAAAAGTCTCTAATCAGGAAATTAATTTTCTTCCACAAAGTACTTTATAAAAAGACAAAGACACTTGCACTTGTATGTTTATCACAACATAATTCAGAATTACAAAGATGTGGGATCAATCTAAGTGCCCATCAATTTATTAATAGATAAATAAAATATGAAATACATATGTACACCATGGAGTACTAATTGGTTACAAAATAGATGAACTAAATAAAATCTTTTGTAACAACTTTGATGTAACAGAGACTATTAGCCTAAGTAAAGTATCTCAGAAATGGAAAACTAAACACTGGATGTGCTCATTAATCAGTATAAGTTAAACTATGGTATAAACTGGTTCAAAGCTACATACATAAAGGACATTGAAAACCAAGAATGATGAGTATAGAGGACTGAGGAATAAATATGAAGCCATTGGGTAAAATGAGAATTATTCTGGTTATAGGCACACCAAAAGTCCTGACTTATGTAATACAGTGTACCCATGTAACAAAAATATTTTTATCCCATTATTTTGAAATTTAAAAAATATGTAATTTTTTTTATAACAAATTGAAGGCATAAACCTGGCAAACAAAAAACAAACAAACAAAAACAAAAGCAAAAAACCAGATAGAAAACCACTATTGTTGATGTAGTATCATATAAGTCAAGAATTATTCTGGGAATGTAGTTCAATATTGATTTATTTTGAAACCCTTTGTTATATCCTTTTAAAAATGTGTGTGACTAATAATACTATTTCAACACAGAATATAGATATGAGGAAAACAAATGAGTAATCAATCATAAACATGTAATAAACAATTCTGCCTCATTGTTTATTGTACAGGTATAGCAATAAACATGATGTTGAGCAAAAGGACCCAGACACAAAGGAATGATATACTGTAATTTGTGGTGTGCATATTACACTAAAAACATCATTTTGAAAATCTTTTCATTATTAGAACAAATTACAATTTGTTTTTATTTATGCAATCATAATATTGTTTCCATTTCAAAAATATATAATTACATGGCCAACTCCAAACTCAGGCGCTCTACTTCCAAAGCCTGTGCTTACAATGATATCTTTGTAAAGACCCACATTCTTCTGACTGAAGTCTATCGTCGCGTAGCATAGCACAGGTGTGGTTCTTAAATTTTATTTCTGATATGCTATAATGGAGAAAAATTTATACTTCCATTATACTTTATGGGGGACAATCCCTGAGATAAAATAATTGTCCACATACTTTAAGAGAACAATTTTGCAAAAACAGTTAATGACATTTTAATTTAATATTAGTCAGAGTTAAGTATCATGACAACTGAACACAGTAGTCTCCCATATCTACAGAAGTGTTTCAAGACCAGTGGATGCCTGAAACCACCTATTTTACTGAACTCTATTATACACTATGTTTATTCTATATATGCACAACTGTGATAATGTTTATAAATTAAGCACAGGAAGGGATTAACAACAATAACCAACAATGGAAAAGAGCAAGTATAATAATATGCTACATCGCTATTATTGAGATTTGGGGTCATTGTTAAGTAAAATAGAAGGTTCTTGACAAGCAAACACTGTGGTAGTAGGAGAATTGAAGTGATCACCAGAGGACTATGACATGACTAATGATGGGGTTGCCCCTACGGTGTGGATCTGCTGATTAAAGAGAGATGATGCACATCCCAGGGAAGACAGAGCAGGACAATGTGAAATTTCATCATCCTACTCAGAACACTGAGAAAGTTAAAGTTTATAAAGTGTTTTTTCTGAAATTTTCATTTTAAAATATTCTGACTGAAATTAACTCAAAATACAAATAGTGAAACCACCAATAAGAGGAAATTACTATGGTATATTCTTTACTATTTATATCAATATTTCGCTAACCTTCAACATCTTTTTGTGCCTATAATTCAATTGAAACATACTTATATTAGTCTGATGAATTTCTCCTTTTTAATTTTTTCTACTATATACTTCCATTCATTAAAACTTACTGAAGTTTGAAAGTTGAGCCATTTATTGACACCCATGGATGATCACTGCTGGTACGAAAGACTCCAATCCATGACAGGCGTGACAGGGAACCCAGAAATTTCTTTAGGAACATAAATATTTTATATTTAAATAATTATTAAAGATTTTATAATTGTTTAAAGTATAAGTAATGTGTTCTTTCATTGGATCTATGATAGTCAAAACAAAATATTTAAGTTATATTAACATTGCAAATTACTTTTTACTTTGCTGAAATATTTGTAGTTTTTGCTTAAAATGAACTCTTAAACATTTATACTTAGTAGTTTCATTCTTCTTGAGTCAATGAGGAAAATTATTACCCTTTAATTTAACAGCAACCCATGTTGGCAAAACAAATATAACATGATGTTAAATAAATTTCAGACACTGTACTTACATTTCTCTTTGTGCTAATATTAAATCTATCTGTGTTTCTACTATATTTCTCCAAGTTTGAGGTGTCTGATGAAATGCAAAGGGCTTCCATTGAAAAAATAAATTATATGTAAGACAAAAATATTGTCTTCTGGGTACCACACCATCCTTTAACTAGGTAAGCACCCAGTTTTTTTGTTTCAGTATTGGCAACAGAACAGCAATAATCTAAGAGGGGTCCTCAAACTACCACCCATCCATGACATTTATCTGGCCCACCAGGTGTTTTTGCTGCTGCTGCCTGTCCTGCTTAGCAGCTGACTCAACCTGGGGCTGACAGTCTGGCCCTCCAACAGTCTGAGGGGCAGTGAACTGGCCCCTGTTTAAAAAGTTTGAGGACCCACTCTAAAACATGTATTTCTCCCTTCCAAGTACAACCACAAACTTTAGAATTTATGAAAGACACAAGCAAGGGAGACCTGGAATGGAGAAAAGAAAAGGTGGTATGGTTTAGGACTCCAGAATCAGGGATCAACACAGTGGTGGGCATCTTAAGTCCCTGGCCCAACAGAAGAAAGTCATCTATGCCTGCTGTTTCCCAGCACCCAACCTGGCAATGAAAAGTGCCTTGGGCAAGTTCCTTCCCCTTCTTATTGAGAGAGAGTCCTGAGCTACATTTGCAACACTTGCATCACCAGCAAGGGTGATCAATCAGGAGACCCACTAACTATAAGTAGCCAAGAGAAAGAGCTTCTGCTACCTCGCCAAGAAACACCAGTGTAGGTGTGGCTCAGAGGGTTCAGTGAAGGAATCTCATAACTACAAGAGCCGCATCCAGGAAAACTCTGTGTTCTTGACAGCATGAGACTTATCTCCCACATTCAGAGACACCAAATAAAATGAATTTTAAAATAATACATAATGTGGAAAGGAGGAGAAATGATGAGGGTCTGCTCCTGAGCAGGGGTGTTGTAGCTAGAAACTCCCATGTTGTGAACTGATTTCTATTATAGGAGTCCTTTCACTTTGTGATAAACATGCACAATCCTGAGGTAGCACAATTAAACAGCAAAATTTAATGTAGATTAAAAGGATGTATAGAAGCATTGTTTGACCGAACAGAAACTGGCATAATTAAATGCGCATTAGGAATATTGAATAAAGTATTTGAAACATTTAACATCTTACCATTTCTTCTTCACTATCTATGTAAAGCAGAGTGGAGTTCTTAGAAGCACAGGCCATCAAACTCTCATTCCAAGTTTTCTCATTCCATTCCTTCACCATGGAATAACAATTGTTGGAATATGTGAACCACTCCTCTGGGGGATGACCACAATGATATTCTGAAGAAAAATTATGAATTACTTTCTTGAAACAATATGAATTCTTTAAATGAAAATTAATTTACATATTTTCAAAGATATAAAATATGACATTTGTCATATTTTGCATCCTTTTAGGCTGGTAAATATAAAAGTCACTCAATCACACATAGAAAAGGGTCAGCCCATCTTCCCCGATTATACTTCCACACAAGGCAAAACAACAAACATGTATCCACCCTGCACATGACTGAAAAATAACTGAACAAAATCACTTTTTGGCAATAGCAATATTTTAAACTGTTATGACAGCAGAAGCAATTTGAGTCAAATTGCAAAAAGAGGCACACTGATTTTAAATGAGTATTTCTACATATTTTTTCAAAAAAGAAAATGTCTTCATAATCTTTGTTTTGAACACTTATTTTCCAACATTATAATTTATTTCCCCAAAAATATTGATAATAATTGTTTCACAGCCTAAGATTGTGATAAAATAAAAATTGATTTAATCAATACCTTTCTGATTGCTTTTCGTCTGGTTAGAATTGTTCTGCTTCTGTGTTACTGCTGCAGGAAAAATTAAGATAAAACTTATTAAACATTAGAACCTAAAGAAGTCACAATAATTATAGTTCTTATTTATATTTGGCATATAACTTAGAATAATCTATAGTAAGATTGATTTCAGAAAAAATAAATTAGTGAAAGTTTTTAGGGGAAAGTCCTTCTAATTCTAGAAAATTAAATTTCATCATTTTGGTCTACTTTACATATTAAAACACTTTATTTGATTCAACCATTTTCAAAAATCAATTTCTATTTTTGATTAGCTTTTTTCAGTCTCCTTAAATGTGCATTTGAGTTTTGAAATTTGAACATATACCTATAATTAAAAGCAAAGACTTTCAACAATCTTTCATCTATACTTTTGAAAAATTCAGAATAACCAATCTTCATTTAGTTCAAACATTCAACAATTCCCTATAAAATGGGACTTCTACTTGATGATCTTATGAAATATGTAGAGGAACTCCAAAACTATTAAGTGGGAGAGTTCTCTTCTAGTCTTCCAAAACATACTTACAGGTAATGACGACTCTTACTACCACAGTGGACAGTAAGACAAGACAAACGATTCCCAGGATCCCAGCAAAGAGCTTTTCTGGAGGTAGCAATAAATCTGGAGAGAAAGAAACAGCAATACCAAGAAAGGAGAGATATTTACATTCAGGAGACCCCACATGCACAGGGAATCATAGATAAATTCAGTTCCTGAACATGTATTTATGATAGTAATTTTTCTCTCAGTATATATCATTGAATCTTTGATAAATGTAGTGTTCCATGAGTTGCTGAGAAAGACTGTAATTTTCAACCATTTGTGAGTACAGTCAGTCTAAACATTTCATATCTCAACAATAGCACCTCTCAATTCAGAACTCTGCTCTTCACTAATAAAAATATGTGAGTATGCCCTGCTTTTTCCCCAAACCCCTGCACTCAAACTGCACATCTTAGAACAGTTATCTTGAGGAGCTACTAAGATCTTTCTTTACCTTTGCAGTGGTAAGATTTGCCATCCAATGGAAGATCCTGAGCAGCATTTTGAAGTTTTAATTCCACATAGGTTATTTCCTGTTCAGTTTCTGAAATGGAGCTTTTAGTTTCCTCGGGTTTCCTTTGTTGCCTCTTTGGGGTTTTGGGCAGATTCAGTTCAGTGTAGATTATTCTTTGGTTATCCATCTCTGCAGCAGTGAGATGTCAGGGACTGGG